ATATTATGATACGTGTTATCGCTGAGGAAGAGCACAGGCGTGCTCGAAATATTCGAAATAAACGATTATCTTATGTGTATTATGTCAACGTATACGACTCTACTTTGTGCATTCGTACTCATTTTGATCATATTGATCCCTGTGTATTTGCCATGCATCAAGGACTATAGTGTTTTTTAATGCGCTTGAAGAAATATTGTAGAAGTATAATTTATACAATTTGGATGAATATAAAAGCTCTCTTACTTCTTTTTTTCAATTTTCTCCAAAAGATGAAATTGAACAATTTAAAGATAATCCAATGACGAGCCTTATATTCAGTTCATCTGGAAATAGTGACCCGTTTATGCTAGCTGCCTTTGAACAGGTACTATATGAACATTATTACAATGTAGAGACTTATGATCATACAATCTTATATTACAATAATTATGAAGCACTAAACCATCAATTTGTATTACGAGCCTAGAAAAATACATGTAATTGCTGACATTAAACTAAATACAGTGGCAGTGCCAGAACTGATAAAGGGACGTAAGCCCTTGCTTGGACAAGTATAACCCCTTACCATCAACCAAAACATTTTTTTCTTTAAAAAAAAGTTTTTTGTGGGACAATACGTGCTAAAACGTCTTAGACCAAATGTCTTTTTTTTTTTCTTTCTGGGACCCCAGCTTATCTCTAGACCGCACTGGTCTCCATTGGAAATTGTCAGACCACCTGTCATTTTGTGTATTTATCTATATTATAAATTAAAATTATTATTATTATTATTATTGTTGTTGTTGTTGTTGTCGTTGTCATTGTCGTTGTCGTCGTCGTCGTTGTTGTTATTATTATTAGGCCTATTATTTTTATTGTTATCGTTATTATTATTATTTTTATTATTATTCTTATCAACATTATCATTATTATAATATTATTATTGTTATTATCAACATTATCATTATCATTATTATTCATATTATTATTGTTATTATCAACATTATCATTATCATTATTATTACTAGTATATTATTAGTGACAGTTTAAAATGTTAAGATAAATACAAAAAAAAAGATTTAATTGTGTTTGCAAATACACATGTTAAACTCTGTACCACAAACCGTAGCTAGAGCCAATGGAGCAGTAGCAGTAGTTAGTTTGTTCCTAAAGGGGAACACTCAGTCAGCTCTGATTGTGGGCTGTCACTCTATACTATCATCAGAGCCCTAGACTTTTGATATTTGCTCTATTTGAGAATGCTTAATCAAGTCAAATGTATTTTGGTAAATCTTTAAATCATTCTACATAAGTGTTATAAAAGGGTATGACGCGCTCATTGTTAAAGTATTGGGCAACATTCAGTGTTTTCAATACAGCTATAGGCCTATTAGATTGTATGTTTGCTAATGTAATCTTATCCAACAGGCAGGAATTTCGTGATGTCTTGAGTTTCTGTACTGTAGTGTGGTTTGAAATGGCTAATTTTATGTTTTTTTTTAAGTTCCTGAAAACAATGGTGTTCACCATTGGTGTCATGGCAGTAATTGACGAACATAAAGATAAGCAGGAAGACTACCCACTCAACACCATCAAACCATCCAAGAGTTTTGAGCCTCTCATGATTGGGTTGGTTGTATTTATGGTAGGAATCGCTTTCAGTCACTATGCACGTTTCTATTTCAACCCACTCCAAGATCTTAGTGGTTTAATATTCGTAGCAGTTGCTAGCTTAAGGTAAGTGCCTATCAAGGGAATGATGATATACTGTATAATTAACATGATATGGGAGACGCTGTTTCTCAACCAGTCTTCTGGATTATTCTGTAGACAGATATCTGTGCTTGGACCCCAGTGGTTTACAATTTACATATATCCAATCCGAGACATCATCAGCAATCTATCTTACCATGTTTTTATGCTGACGACACTGATTTACCTTTCATTTAAGCCTATACAGTAATACAAAGTCATATCTCTCTAAAATCATTTGAAAATTGTATTTCTGAGTTGCGTACTTGGATGAAACAAAACTTTCTTCTGGATCTTTATCATTAAACCTTTGAGATGGCTTTTGGAGCGATAATAAATTGAATTGATTATTAATACCATTGAGAAATGATATACGGTACTGCACTTCAATACATAACTTAGGATTTTTTTCATTGATGTCATGTATATTCTAATACTGCATGCCAAATTTTTGTAGGGCATCATGGAGCACAGAATATAGGCTTTCTTAAGAAAACGTTTCATTTCTTTGCGTAAAACGCCATTACCCAGTGTCTTACATCGGCAAATGTTCTCCTTATCGCTCATGGCTGGGTCGCAGATCCAAGGCTAAACCATGGATTTTTTACATCTTCCTGGATAAACCATACCCACTATAAGCTAAATTAAAGAATCCATGACATTCTTTAAAAAGAGCAGGGGCTTTTTCGCGGTGAACTGATACAGTCCCTGCTGAAGATGAGAGGCGTGATCGGATTGACAGCAAAACCACCACATTGATTCTGAAGGGAAATCCTCTGACTTTCTGGCGTAATTTCACTTAGCACAACTTACTTTATGGGTCTAGACTAGCATTAATTGCAATTGTTTATCGTATATACAATCAAATAATGATAAATACAAAATATTAACAGATGTTTTGGTTAATTGAAATAAATATTGAAAATTGAAAGAAAACTGATATAAAATATTTCTTTTCTATTTAAGAATAAGCATGATGTGGTTGATTGGTCAACTGATTGTACCTTTGGTGGGTTGTTTTATTGGTGCATTAATCTACATATCAGTTATTGAAAACAATCATCAGAAACCTGTTGTCGAATCTACCAGAGAGGGTGAAGGTATATGTATCCCCCTTTTGAATACAATGAATAATGACAGTAATTAACTTTTCATTAATATATTAAAGATATACTTCTACGTTATTCCAAAATGCTTACCCAGGGGAAGGTCCTAATATTATTTTTACTTCAAAGATAGTTTACAGCTTTGAAGTAACTATGCACATTGTCCGGAATTTCATAATAGCCACTTTCGTTTTCTGTCCAGGACTATTTTGCATAAAATTCTTGAAATTGTAAACAATTATGAAAAAATCGTGTCACAAAGGTTTACAAATCACAGGAAACGTTGTTACATTACATTACGGGTGAAAAAAAAAATTGGCATAACGTACGAATCCTGACCTGCGTTGATGCATAGCTGTGGTAACTCTGGTTCATTAATGTAGCTGCACATTGTAATATCCTGCTTTTATTCCAAAGGTCTGTACAGTAGCATCAAGCTTAGTGCATAGAGAAAATTTCTATTTTCTCTATGCTTAGTGTGACAAAATCATGTACGTGTGATGTCATGTCCATATAGTGGAAAATCACTAGTGTTTGTGAAAGAGAGCTGGTTTTGCACTAAGTAAATTTATTGACTGGAATCTAAAACGTTGGTTCATGCGCACGTGCATTCACATTCCTATTGGAGTTGTTCGCTTCAACTAAATCAGTATTTCGAACGGTTTCTACTTTTTGCGAAGTGAAAAAAGTGCGCAACCAATCAGTAGGAAGCCAACCAACGTTTCGATTAGCGCGAATATAATAATAATAATAATAATAATAATAATAATAATAATAATAATAATAATGTTAATAATTAAAAAAAAAAAATAATAATGTTAATAATTAAAAAAATAATAGTAATAAATAAAATATCAGCAAGCGAAAAATGCGCAACCAACCAGAGCTCAGAGAGCGATCACGCTTTCGATTCTCGCGAATAAATTCATGATGATGATTTCATAGGCCTTATACGTCTTAAAACATCTAATGCCCAAAGTGATGTAGCTCTTCGCCTATATAAGACACTTGTGCTTCCCTGTCTATATTATTGTTCCCCGGTTTGGTGGGTGTACCGAATAAAACATATAAAACAGTTGGAATCAGTACAGCGGAGAGCTACTTGCATGATTTTAAGGAAAGGATATTTAGACCAGTCTTATCATGATAGAAGAACTGAGTTAGGCTTACTGTCTGTTGAGAATAGGCGAGACTTTTTGAACATGACATTCATTACAAAGTTACTAATTTCTCCACGATCTGATTTTATGAGGGGTTATGTCGATTTATTTGAAATTAATAATAGACATCAAGATATACTTACCTTCCATCATGCTAAAGCTCGTACTGATGCTCTTAAATACTGTGGGGTAGTTAGATTTCTGAAAACATTTTCTGAACTTAATGTTACTATAAGAAATAATCCTATTGAGGAGCCATTTTTCATGTTTAAACAGAGTTTAAAGGATCATTTTACTGACTTTTAAATTTGCTATTCTGCTTGACGAAATGTACTTGTAAAATTTTAATAATTATGTTGTTTTATTTATTTTTTACTTTCGTTCATTTTAATGTTTAAACTTTTATATTGTTTTGTTGGCAGGGGTTTGGTTAAGCACATCTTTTGATGACAGTTTTTCTAACTTTTGCTTTTCCTTGGCACCCCTGTCCAACTTTTCTGTTTTTGTCGAAAGATTGAAAATAAATAAATAAATAAATAAAATGATGATGATGATGATAATAATAATAATAATAATAATAATAGTAATAATAATAATAGGTGTCCAGCCTTTGCTTATTGCGGCCAGTATACTCGTATCATTTGCTTCAACCGTGAGAGCAGCACTTCTCCAATTTCTTTCATTTACAACCAAAAAGTATAGTACTGTACTATGTTTTCATTTATTACAGAATTGAAGAATGTGCTTGATGATGGAAGTACTGGTAACTTACCAAATCAATAAAACATCCAACCATTGTTTAATGGCCAATTTACACTATATTCCTCGATTTTTTTTAAAATGTTTAACAAAAACCAAATTCTAGACTTTTGCGTTAGTTTATTACATTAATACTATAAAATCAGTTTAACAGATAGTAAAATACTGGCTTAACTCAATGATACATTGTCCCCCATTTTATTTTGTAAATGGTAATTTGTATGCAGATCTTGTTTCTAATGTCAGATATACCTACTGTAACACATTTTTCGATGTCTAAACTATATTTTAGATACATTTTCTTGTCCTACAATACAATATTTTTTAATGATTTAACTGTACGTAGTCATTTAACTTGTATCTAATATCCGAGATATATTCTTTGTCTTTTGCAATACACTCACTTTTTAATGTCTAAAGTGTATTTGGATATAATATTTTTCTTGTATCTTGTATAATATTTTAAAAATATTCTGTAATAAAGAGAATAAAATTAAATAGTTTATAATTTAAGTGTTTTTTTTAAACTTTTGTTTTTGAAATGTATTATGTGGAGCATAGCAAATCCGGGGACCTAGAAACATCAACGGTTCAGCACACACACAGTGGCTACCACCAGATTTATTTAAAATTAAGTTATAGCATTATATTTTCCGTAACCCAGGATGGGACCCTTTCAGGTACTCTCTCTCTAGGTCAGGGAAACCAGGAACTTATCAAGGGTATAGGGGCTTCCCTATATTGACCACACTTTGCCTTTTGTAAAGCGTGTCTATTGATTCCCTTTCTACCAGCTAAACTAACAAAACTATGAAACATAGGACATTACAATACAAACTGTAGTCTTGATTTAAATTAGCAGGACTAAATGCATCCCCTGAAAGCCTTAATCGATGGAGCTCTCACAGTTGCTTCAGGAACCTTGTTCCACTGTTCGGCAGTTCAGGAAAAAACAGTTCTTATGATAGTCTGCAGATGATGTTGAGCTGTGATAAGCAAGACTATTTTCTCTTCTTTTCGAATGTTGATGGCTTTTAGAAGCAAGCCTCATGGTGATTGCAACTTTGACTATAATGGATTTTATAAAACTTGGCAAGACGGGAGTTTGTTCGCCACTCTTTCAGTGTCTCCCACCCCAATCTGTTGAACATTGCTGTTTTGCAATTTGATGAATCAGTTATAGCGCAAGTTAAATGAATACTGTGAAACATTAACCATCCTGTGTCCATAGACAATAACTTTATACGGTCAGGATGCCGTTTACGAAGTATTTACTGAAGAACATCTATAGGCCTACAATATTAAAGTCGTTTGTCCTAACTTTAATTGTTATTTTTAATAAATCATGCAGTCGATAGGAACCTTTTAAAATTGTTTTTTATATTAAGTGTTTTTCCTTTTTATGGTGTTTTAAATCAAAACTTTTAACTTGGGCGATAGAAATATATTTTACACAATGTATTTTAAATGAAGGTTTAATATTTGTTTGTGTATGATAAAAAAACACTAGATAATGCTACGAAGTGCAGGCCAATCTAGCGAAAATTTCCAATTGTATGTTTTATATAATTTGGCCAATAACAGTTTTTGAATTGGAATTTTGAACTTCTAAACATAGAACACTTTAAACCCATATAAATTTATACTTCCGTAAATTAAAAGGAAGTACACTCTTTTAAAGGTTTTTAAATAAATATTATTACAGGGAATTTTTATAAGTTATCAACCTCAGTACACACATGCTATATCTAATTTCTAACGAATTCGTTTTTATGCACGCACCGAAGTGAAAAGTTTAGCCTAATAAATTTTGATATGTATATATTTGTTTTATGTCGTTTGTTTACAATCCTAATATTAACATTGTATTACAGTCTACAATTTATATTATCATTTACATTCATGTCATGTCAGGTCATAATGTAACTTATTGTGATTTGCACTATGCTCTAACCAGGAAAACCAAACTTGGTATGCATTCACACTATGAATTAAATATGTATACAGTAATTGTTTTTCTGTGACTGGTTGATTGCCATGTTTTCAATGATTGGTGGATATAATACTCTCTTCCAATTGTTGCTTTCTTGGATGGATATAATGCGTATCCTATTAATTTCATATTTCAAAACATTTTTTTTGTATATGATCAATTCACAATTCACATGATAGGCCTATTACATCGATCATGCCCCTAACCCAAAAGTATCAAAAATGAATATAATGCCATTTTCCGAATCACGGCAGAATATAGAGTCGTTTGTGTTTATGCTGGCTGGTCAAGCGTTTATACAAACTTATCAAGATTATCTTGCTTCAATGCTGAACACAACTAACCTTATCATTTACAGTAGTTGCCAATCACTGTTAACAAACATGACATACAACAATACGATTTATTTTCAACATACACCTTTAAATCGGTAGCAATCAATAAAGATCATGATAACGATATACAAAGTTAAAACTTAAAACAAACAAAAAATGATTAAAATTGAGAACACAAACCAGTGGGAAATACACAACATAAGTGTTTTTCGTAAAATACACAACAAGCAAACAACAAACAAGCAGTTCTCAATAAATATGAGATGCAAGCCATCATTACAGACTGCAACCAAGTGCATCACTAATGTCACATGTAAACATATTTCACAATTCACATAAGACAAATAAACTGTATAATTTTCAGATGAGAGTAATAAATGCCATCATGATTCTATATTTCGATTTCTTCATCCATCATATCAACATTTTTATAAATTTATGTTCACATTAGTGCTTTTTTTTATCACTCTAAACTGAATTCTGAGTGAGTAGATATGAGATTATATTACAGGGTGCAGAATTAATGCAAGTGAATCGTAAAATTGGCCAGTGGTATTTCAACCGCCTTCCATCCCACCCTACCAGAAAACCATACAGCTTGAATTGTAACTGTCGTTGGGTCTACAGCAATACCGTACCATATACTATTACTATGCTATATTCACCATCAAATTTTTTTTTTTTTCTTCGTTGTTTTCAGTTCTAAAATTAGTCATACTGATTGATTATTTTATTGAATGATCAATGTACATATTAAACAAATATTTATGGAAGTTGTGTTTGAGTAAAATATACGAATTTAAGAAGGAAAAAAGGTCCGAAACGAATTTGTGTAGGGCATACAATGGAATCAGGCCGGCAGCCCCTGAGACTGAGCTGCTTAGTTAGGCCATGGGGGTATAAAAAAGAGGCCTGCTGTAGGGTGACGACAGGTTGATATTTTTCTCGTGATTTTGTATCATTTCAATGAAGATACTGAGTACAACCTAGGACTACACATATACCACTCTTCCCCTTCCCCTCCTCCCCCCCCCACGTCGGACATTCTGGGGTGGCGCCAGGATTTGCTCGACGGGGGGGGGGGGGGGGGGGGCGGGGCGGCCCCCCCCCGGGGG